CAACCAACAATAACCTGACCTTTTCCATAAGGTCATTTACTGAGAGTCCACTCACTTTCTAGGCCCTGGGATTATAAAGACCATGAGGGTTCGTTTCTGTCCTCAAGGAGGTTAGAGTGAAGTGGAGGATCCAGAAGTAAACAGATCACTAAGTACAGAGTGAGAGATTTTGGGGCTGTGGAAATATAGCAGTGTACCTTGATGTGAGGAAGCAAGGATCATGGAGTTCCCATGGCAGCTGTGATACCTGGATTGTGGCAGTTTTTCTGAAGGTATCATGGGGAAGGAACATGTGGACATGCTAAGTGTGGCCAAAGATAAGATTCAGTAAACTGCTAGTGAGATGTTGATGGCATTGAGTGATGGAGAGATGTGACAACTTTGAAGCTATTGAGGAATTAGTGGCTGACTAATGTTGGTGAAAGAGACTAGGAGTGTTGGTGGCCTCCCAGATGCTTGATGCTAGAGAGAGGAGGAGGAGCACATGAAGGGATTGTTGATTTCAGAATGTCTATGTAGTATCCATGTGGAGATGTCTACTAGGTCATTGAAGATACAGGTCTGGAACCTGGGGAAGTGCTCCTGACTGGTGATGTAAATTTAAGGTCAACAGAAGATCAGTGATAGACATCAGTGGTTAGAGAGTTGGGAGGATGTTATGTGATTCTAAAAGAGAATTTAAGAAATGAGAAGTTGTGACCAGCTTTATGCTGCAGGGAAGTGAGGTAATACAGGAAAGTGAAGTGCCTTAGGATGGGATTCAGTAACAAAGAGATCATTGGTCATCTTTGCCAGGGCTGCATGTGTTGTGTTGTGGTGGTGGTGCGGGGGGGAGGGAAGTGGGGCCTAAGCAGGGGGCTGATGACTGAGGGTTGAGTAATACTTGTGAGGTGAGGAGCTAAGGGAGTGATTTCAGTTATTTCTACAAAACATGCTTGTGATAGAAAGGGAAGATAGAGGGTGGGAGGTGGAAAAACAGATATAGGACCTATGGAAGATTTTAATAAGCTTCTCGTTTTAATGCCTTGCATTTAAAATGATGCTTTCCTAGCTTGGCTTTAAATAAAAGTCCTTCCCTTATTCCTAGCCAAGCCTGGCAGCAATGAGGTGGAGCATGGGCCTCCAGCCCCAGCTCTCTGACCGTCCAGTTCGTCATATGTGATATGATAATATGTCCATTACAAGGTGATTTAAGGTTAAAATGAAAATATGTACAAAGCAACTGGCACACTTCCCCAGGGTAGGGGCCAAGTCTAGTAAGTTCCTGTTGCATATGCTAGGTTCACAATAGAATTTTATTTGGTGATTGATGGTTTGGACACAGGCCGAAATGAGTCCTTGTCACCTTGTTTATGCTGAGACTGTCCTGTGGTTTGTGGCCTCAGCCGCCCTGTGAGGAGCCACTTGACTGACCTTTTTGCTCAAACAGCCAGCCCTTCAAGTTGTCTCTGAGCCTCATCAGCCTGCTGCCTTTTTCTACCATCAGCACCTAAGCTCCAGGCTCCCTGTGCGGTTTACTGCCGAGCAGCTGTGTGCCTCTGCATGTCCCAGCACCTGCAGGATGTCGCAATGAGGATTGCTTCAGCGGTAGCAATGGGCTTGGTTCCAGGACCTCATTCATGGGTGGGAAGCCTGTCCTGCCACCTACTGCTCCCCCAGCCGAGGGCTGATGAAACCGCCCAAGAATGTGAAGTCTGCTGTAGGCCCAGGTCTCACAGTCATTCCTGAGGTTAGATGGGATCCGTGCTTACAGAACTTCTGGCTGGTTTTGTATTTGTTTTTTCCCCAGTCACTCATTGATATCATCCTTTGACTATTTTATTAACTGTGTTGCTATGTTGTTGGTTGTAAGGTGATTCTATAAGTGAGGATGGTGGAAAAGGATTAACGTGTTCTCTGTGTTTCCTTTAACTTAGACCTTGAACTTGGTACTTGATGTCTCATGTAATCCTCAGAGCAGTTCTGTGACTTAGGTGTTCTAGGACCCCCATCCCAGATGGAAAGATCTGAGGTTCACACATTTTAATTAACTTGCCCTGAATCACATAGGGAGTAATGGATAGAGTCACAATTCATAACAGATCTGATTGAAGCTGAATCTGCAGTTCTTTCTTATACTGCCCTGGAGTAAAAATAGCCATTCAGGGGGTTAATCTTGGACACCAGCAAGTAGGAGGGGGGAATATAGGGCAGAGGTGGGATTTGTTTTTCTGTTAGGCTTGCAAAGGAACTGCTGATCTTCTAAACTGGAGATCTAGTTTTATTTGGGCAGAACAATGTTGAAACATAAGGAAATTTCACATAAGAATTTAGATTTGAATCCTGTCTTAAGAAAGGAGATGTGCAGGCACCGAGCATGCCCAGCACAGCAGTGCCAGCTGCCTCGTGTCCTCGCTCACCAGCCCACAGACGCGCTCCATGACATCCTGAGCCTCACACTCCCAGCATTACCTGCCTGCCGACCTCCTCTTAATTTTGCAAACCTTGCTTCATTTATCACTTAATCTTGTGTGATGACATTTGACCTATATAGATCATCAGATGTTCTCCTTGTTATAGATATATCTTTCTTCCTCTTCCTCTACCCCCTTCACCAACTTCTGATTTTTCTTGCTTTAGTGACCATCACTTAACACTCTTTACAAATGATTTTTATGGTACCCCTTAGCACCGCCACTCTCCCCCTGCCCCCCCTCCCCCCATATAGTGGCAGGAGATCTTGTTTAGGTCATACCTGATAATTAATTGTCATAGTTGAGAGTTTTATTTTTCCATGGCCAGCCCACTGCTGGGGCCTTTAAGTGCAAACCCTACTGGTTGTATTGCTCACTGCTCTTAAGGTTGGGAGAACTGAGCCAGGAAAATTTGGTCAGTGTGTGGAAGAGGGGCTTGAATCCAGGGTGCCCTATGCCCCAAGCTCTGCTGTTCCCCTGGAAGGGCAATGCAAAGACTAGGGCTACTGAACTGTGACCTTGGGCATACAACCTTGCTCCTCTGCTTCCTGAGTCCCATCTCAGCATGGCTGGGGAGCCACTGTGCTCATGGGCAAGCTCCCTTCTCAGTAGCAATGCCTTCATGCTCCCTGGCTTCACAATATCTCATTGCCCTTCAAGGTCTGAAAGCTCCATTATCCAGAGATAAATGCCAGTGAAATGCTTGCTCCCCCCATGCAGCGGGTCATGGTTTTCGGACTGGTGGTGGTGGTGATAGCCTTGACAGGCTTGTAATTTAATGACCTCTCTTGTTTGTTCTTTACTTTCTAATTTGTTCTTTAGAAGCTCATGTCCGAAATGTAAGAGTTTCAGATCAGAGGTTTTGTTGTTGTCACTTTCTTACAGAGAAGCTACACTAAACTGATAGATCATACAGTTAGTGAAATATCATACTGCTGTAGTCCTTACATTTCATGGGTAAAGATGTAGTAATGTTCATAGAGCTGTCTAATGAAGTTTCTGGTGAAAGGTATAGCCTCTCTTGCATTTTGGAATCACCTGTAACTTAAGAATCTTTTTCAATGTAAAGGAAAGAGGGGGGGCGCGGGATGTGTTCCAGCCCTACTAAGAAACAGCTCTGCTGAAGGCCTTGGAAAAGCAATGTTACCTTACTGGGTATAGTTTACTTCTTTTTGTAGTAGAATTAGGTCACTGTATTCATAGGCACCTCATTAATGCATACTTGGAGTGAGTATTCCAAAGGTGTTGGAATGCAAAGCACATAGCCCTTCATTCCGGTTTTTCAGGTACTACCCTGAAGCTCTCTCTTCAAAGTTATGCTTCATATCTGTAGCCTGCAATAGGCATATTTTGTTTCATCTTTGGATTTAACCTTTTCTTTCTTCAGGGATCTGTGACTCCTTGTTATATATACATTCAGGGGTGATATCAACTGGGTTGTAAATTCCCTGAAGGCAAGGTTGTATGGAATGCTTCTTTGTAACTTGAAGCCCAAATCTGGTGATTCCCTTTGTACAGGTGAGGAACCTGTGAGACTCGACAGTGTGCCCCATGTCACACAGACAGAGAGAGGCCAAGCCAGGAAATGAGCTCCCAGGTCATGGCCACAGAGCAGGCTGCCTCTCTGCTGAGCTGTGTGGCTTGATGAGTAGCCTGGCTGGTGACCTAGACCTTACTTAGTTCAGCGGGCATAGGTTTTTGACTTGGTCTTTGAGTCTGTGACCCTGGGCAAAACATTTTACCTCTCAGAGCTCCAGCTTGCTTGTCTATGAAATGAGGAAAATTATGGCCTAGCTCCCAAAGGTGCTATGACAATCTGGTGAGATACTATATATGAAGTAAATTTTATATTGTAAGTGCTACAATAATAAAAGGTGTAATTCACGACATATATTCTTGTCCTCCACTTAATAATAAATGTTTTATTACTCATAGTCAAATTTTAAGGTTTACTAAGTTGAAATGCATATTTTTATGTTCTGTTTAGGCAAAGTCTAATTTATGCATAGCTAAATTCTGAGGAGAGTAGTCAGAGAGGTTAGGGGCTATAGTTCCAATAGCCAGAATAGTGGCTTCAGATGAAAATGTTCTTAACCAAATATATATTTCAAGTGACTCCTGGTACCTTAAGCAAGTTTCTCAGAATTCAAGACCCCAGGTAATGTTTTCAGTTGCTTGATTACCATTTATCAGAAAGGAAGAATGCTTTTCACAAGCTCACAGAGATGTTGTTCCTTGTTTTGGAAGAGCCAGCCCATGGAATATGCATTATACTTGGGAGTGTAGTTATTCTTCACAGTGCTGGTCACCATCACAATTCAAATAAGTTCCTTATAAGATGGCCTCCTGGGCTGCGGGTGGGGGTAGTTTGGTGCATTTGTGGAATTCACCTCTCCCAGTAGAATTGGTGTCAGGTTAGCTCCTCTAATGCTCCAAGTCATAGTTTAACCAAAATGTAATTCTATTTAAATTAATGAAATAAGACTGGTACTGAAGAGACAGGTCTTCCTTCGGTTTCATCTCTTACCTTAATTGATCATTTTAAAAGTTCTCTAGTGAGGTCTTTAATACTGTGTGTGAATATTTCACAGTTTTTATCAACATCAAACCCTCAGTTTCTCATTTTCTCTTTCCATAAAACTAAGAAATAAACACTCCACCCCATACATATATAGTAAAAGGATCTGACATCACTTACAGTTCATCTTGTATATGTGTGTGTATACACACATTTTTACTTATGGTAACATTTTCTTTAGAGTAACTGCCACTATCAACTTCATTGGCATTAATCATCTTATTTTTAAAATAATGCTTCTCAAACTAATGGGAATATTTGAAACAATAATTCTGGATTGATGTATAAAGATGGTAACTTGTACAACAAGGAGATATAGTAACCAATGTGTTTGTATTTTTATAGTATTCTTCATGTGTCTCTCTCCTGCCTGTAACATTCCTCAGTCACTGTCCTCTGTTGCAGCCCTCACTGGCTTCCTGTCTCGAACATGAAACAATGCAAGCCCCTCTACAGGTACCCTCATGACCTGACCTGCAGTCTGCCTGCCCACTTTCCAGCTCCCAGCTCCCAGCTCCCACACTGGGCCCTTTGGTCCTGGAATCCCATCTCTCTCCAGCCTACTAGGCAGACTCCTCGCATAACTTTCAAGTCAAACTTATCTTCCTCCTCTTTCCCAAGCTTCCCATGTTTTCCCCATGGACCATGTCAGTGCTCCTCAGCCCCCTTTGACTGCCTGGTTGTCCATACCTCCAGCTGTTGTATTACATTTTCCTTGTTTGCTGGACTGCCTGAGAGTCCCTGAATCCTTCTATCTGCAGAGTCCAGCAGAGTATCTGCAGGCACAATTGGAGCTTGGGTAGCATTTGACTTAAATTTAGGCTCTCATGAAACCTGGCTCATCGTGGTAAGCATCTACCAGTTTCTTTCCCCCTGAATAGCCTCATTGCCTTCTGAAGTGAGACAGTACAACCTTGGAAGGATAAGAGGACAGGAATTGTCCATTGATCTTGTGTAGACATGGCCAAAGAGAAAACACCGCTTCACTGATATTGCTGAACAGCACACTGTGAAGTGAGAGGGCTAAAGTGGGGAGCTGTACATCCAAATATAGCTCCACAACACCAGTGAGGAAGGTGAGCCAGGTTTACGAGGAAATAGTCAACAGTACCAGCATGCCGATAAAATACAGGTAACAGTTTAAATGTCCGTGGAAATCATCAGGAGAGCTGGGGGCTGCAAAGAATGGGGAGTGTTATCCCATCCCAGACTCTAGGTTTTTGCCATGCAGGTGTGTGCATATATTGCCACTAGATCATCTTATTTACAAGAGATATGGATTTTTATATAAAACTAGAGGCACAGTGCACGAAATTTGTGCACAGGGTGTGTGTGTGTGTGTGTGTGTGTGTGTGTGTGTTCGTGTGTGTTGTGTTGCGGGGGGTGCTTTATGAGATGATTCTCCAATCCCCTGCACCCTCCAATCTGGGACCCCTTGAGGGATGTGTGACTGCCCCATCAGGCCTAAACAGGCATTCGGACATTCCTCTCACAATCCAGGACTGCTGGCTCCCAACAGTTTG